TATTATTATTATTATTATTACACACACACACACACCATAACAACAAGCTAAACAATCACCCCTACAATCACAATAATCAAACAACCACAACAACTACTACCCCTACAACCACAACAACCAACCACCCATACAACCACAACAACCAAATAACCACAACAGCATCCCTCACAACCACCACCACCACCACCACCACCACAACCACCCCCAGAGAGGTCACCAACCATCACCCAAACCACTACTGTTATCCTCCCTTCTTTATATGTAAATTGGTATTGGATATTCACGAATCATACACACGAATATATGAATAATAAACACGAATATTCGAATCATATACACGAATATATGACTAATACACGTGACTATTCGAATCATACACACGAACATATGACTAATACACGTGACTATTCGAATCATACACACGAATATATGACTAATACACGTGACTATTCGAATCATACACACGAATATATGACTAATACACGTGAATATGCGAATCATACACACAAAAGTACGATTCATAAACACGAATAAATAAAAATTTCTTCTCATAGTAAAATATTTCGTTGGTATATTTTTATTATTTTATTTTAATTTAATTTGACCCAAAAAAAGTGAGTCCCATATGCTTGACGTCACAATCAGGTCTGTAAGGCTATAGTACACCGAAAGCCTATAAGCATTATGGTCTATAATACTGTACTGTACTCTAAAGCTTTCATTTCCCCATTTGTAAAATTAGGTACCCATTCACAGCTGGGTGGACGAGAGGTGTCCCCCCCCCCCCACCTCTCCTCTCTCTCTCTTCCTTTCTTTTCGCTTTTAACATCCCTCTTCCTCTCTCTTTACTCTCTCAATTTCCTCCTCTTCTTCCCCCTCTCTCTCGCCACCTTATTCTCTCTCTTCCCGGTTTTTCCCTTCTTCTCCTCTCTCTCCCCTTTTCCCTCTCCGTTTCACCCCCTTTCCCTTCTCTTTCTCACCTTCTCCCTTCTCTCACTCTCTCCCTCTTTCACCTTCTCTCACCCTCTCCCTCCCTCTCCCTCCCCTCTCCAACACACTTTCATATCTTACCATATATTATTTTGCCCTGGTCTTATTGTGTTTGGGTAGCCGAGATCTGTGTGTGTGTGTGTGTATGTGTGTTTGTGTATGTGTGCATTTGGTGTAATATAAGGATACGTGTATTTCCAATGATATACAAACGTACCCATAACGTATATCACACACACACACACACACACACACACACACACACACACACACACACACACACACACACACACACACACACACACACACACACACACACACACACACCAGTATATGACATAAGGAAACACATGGACACAGATTTATGTACATTGCATAACGAGGCCACGTATGCAGCAGCTCCCTGTGTCTTCACCAACATTAGTCCCTACTTCTTCATTTGCATACCTAAGATCCTCTCGACTCTAGTAATTCTGTAATACCGAGTGTAGTTCTTACTCTAGGTACACACACACACACACACACACAGAGCATTATTATGTCTATCACTACTATCACTTCTATTACTACTACTACCATAAAGATTTTACTGATTTTACAACCGCCACCAGCATTACAAGTATAACCACAAGATCTACAACAACCACCATCAATTTCAACTATATCCACAAGAATATATAACAGCCACCACCACCACCACCATTACAACACGACTACAACCACTACCGCCACCATCGGTACAACACGACCACAACTACTACCACCACCGCCACCACTTTTATGTGCCCTGTCTCTAAGTTTCTTCATTAACACAGCTAAGTTTAAAGACTTTTTAAAGAGATACCTTAACAGGCTACAAGTACTTACAACTTTAACACGATACATAAGTAAGACGTGTTTATGGCTGTGATAAGTGAGTCTTGTAACAACCTTTCCTCACTGACTAACTGATACACGTTTTTACCCTACTTGAATGTTTTTGTTTTTTAATCCTTGTTGTCATTTGATGCTGCCAGACGTATGATTATCTTCCCAATATAGGCTCTTTGGGGGTAGATACGGTGCCGCCCTGTAGAACATATCGAACTGTATTCACTCCCAGTAAATACTACTTCTTGCACTGTCACTATGTTGAAATGCACTGTAGTTTGAGCTTTTCCCCATCTAGTTATTATATATCTTATTTGTATCACTTATGTTACTTGTATATTATTTGTAATTCGAAACCCATTCCCCAAATATGTAACTGTATATTTTCAGCCTTCTGGCTGCCAAGCTCTTTCAATAAACCGTTAATTATTATTATTATTATTATTATTATTACTTCTAGCAACACACACACACACACTTGGCTCTAACGTATAGCTAGATGACCAAGACCAGAGAGCCACTATATCTTAATGTCCAGCCACTGACGGAGGAAACAGTCATGGGAGAAGACAACTAAGAAACATTCCGACAAAAGTTTCAGTAAATTTGAGCCAAAAGTTTCGAGAGAGGAAATGTGTAACCCCATCTCTCTCTCTCAAGTGACCGCGTCTTAAGGGCGACACAGCGCTGAGTCTAACACAGTCCTGAAGTAAGGAGATTCATCGGTCGTTCCTACGAAGTTTGAGTAAATCTAAGCCAGAAGTCTTCTTTTAGAACTGAAATATGTGAAAACTTTTCAGACGGACGGACGGACTGAAGCAGACGGACGGAGGTGGACGGACGGGCGGCTGACCACAGGAACAGTCCACTCAGATGGTCTTATTAAGGCACAGTTGTGAGTGTTGTGGTATGTGAGTGTGTGTAAGACTGTGTGAGTGTATGTAAGATTGTGAGTGTGTGTAAGACTGTATGAGTGTATGTGTAAGATTGTGAGTGGGTGTCAGACTGTGAGTGTGTGTAAGACTGTGTGAGTGTATGTAAGACCGTATGAGTGTGTGTAAGACCGTATGAGTGTGTGTAAGACTGTGTGTGTGTGTGTGTGTGTGTGTGTGACTGTGTGAGTGTGTGTAGATTGTATGGGTGTGTGTGTGTGTGAGTGTGTGTCTGTGAGTGTGTGTAAGACTGTGTGAGTGTGTGTGTAGATTGTATGGGTGTGTGTGTAAGACTGTGTGAGTGTGTGTGACTGTGTGAGTGTGTGTAGTTGTATGTGTGTGTGTGTCAGACTGTGTGTGTGTGTGTAAGACTGTGTATGTGTGTGTGTAAGACTGTGTGTGTGTGTAATGTGTGAGTATGAGTGTGTGTGTAAGACTGTGTGAGTGTGTGTAAGATTGTATGGGTGTGTGTGTAAGACTGTGTGGTGTGTGTGTGTGTGTGTGTGTTGTGTACTGTGTGAGTGTGTGTGGATTGTATGGGTGTGTGTGTGTGTGTGTGTACTGTGTGAGTGTGTGTAGATTGTATGGTGTGTGTGTAAGACTGTGTGGTGTGTGTAAGATTGTATGGGTGTGTGTGTAAGACTGTGTGTGTGTGTAAGATTGTGTGTGTGAGACTGTGTGAGTGTGTGTCTGTGTGAGTGTGTGTAAGACTGTGTGAGTGTGTGACCGTATGAGTGTGTGTAAGACTGTGTGTGTGTGTGTGTGACTGTCTGAGTGTGTGTATGTGTGTGTAAAGACATGAGTGTGTAAGACTGTGTGTGTGTGTGTGTGTGTGACTGTCTGTGTGTGTGTGTGTGTGTGTGTGTGTGACTGTGTGAGTGTATGTAAGAAAGTGATTGTGTGTAAGACCATGTGAGTCAGGGATAATCACCAACAAAGACTGATGATGATGGTGTGTGTGTGTGTGTGTGTGTGTGTGTGTGTGTGTGTGTGTGTGTGTGTGTGCGTGCGTGCGTGCGTGCGTGTGTGTGTGTGTGTGTGTGTGTGTGTGTGTGTGTGTGTGTGTGTGCGTGCGTGTGTGTGTGTGTGTGTGTGTGTGTGTGTGTGTGTGTGTGTGTGTGTGTGCGTGTGTGTGTGTGTGTGTGTGTGTGTGTGTGTGTGTGTGTGTGTGTGCGTCATTACCCAGAAAAACAACGATTACGAAGATTAAATATTATTTTCTTAAGCTCCAACTATATATTTACCCTGTCTGTTCATCTGTCTGGCTGTCTGTCTTTCCAAAATTTGTAATAACTTAAAAAACACTTCTCGGATAGAACTGAAATTTGGCCAACAACTGTAAGCCATGAATATCTAAACATCATCAAATTATCATCACTTTTCATACCTATTCAATAAACCTATGGCCCCTATCGTCTCAAAAAATCTAAAATCCAAAAGGTACAACTAACCGTGCCTATACAATAACTTCACAATGACTTCTCCGATCGATATGAGATTTGGTATGGAAATTCCCACCATTAATATCTAGATCGAGTTCAATTTTTAATATTTTACACATATCTTTACCACAGTTATGGCTTCTCATCGTAGTAAAGACATTTTCGTAGGGGGAAAAATACGCATACCTTAGACACGACGATTATAAGGAAACACATACAATATAATCTGAGTAATTATTTATATCGTATAGGGATGATAGTGGTTGTTGTGATAGTGGTTGTTGTGATAGTGGTAAGAGAGGTTGAAGTTGCCATAGTGGTAGTGGTGGTAGAAGGGTTAGTAGTGAAAGTGGTGGGATGTGATTATGGTAATTCTTTCCCCTCACCACGGACAAATTTCCCTTTACAACATAAAACAACTTTTCCCTTACAACAGACAACTTTTCCCTCCCAACAGACAACTTTTCCCTCACAACAGACAACTCACACCAAGTTCCCCTCAATAATAATACCTATCCCTATCTATCACCCCTACCTATGTACCTCACGACCTATCACACCCTACCTATGTACCTCACGACCTATCACCCCTACCTATGTACCTCACGACCTATCACCCCTACGTCTCCAAAGTCTCATAGTTGGTAGAGTCGAGTAAGAGAGAGACAGTTCCCTCCTTTACTATATAGAGTGCAGAGTAAATATTGACTCAAGTAATTATCTCTCTCAGTTTAGGTTCAATCTCTAGTGTTTACACCATCGTCACATGCCGTCACAGAGGGAGCTGGAGCACAGGGACCGTCACATGCCGTCACAGAGGGAGCTGGAGCACAGGGGCCGTCACATGCAGGCCACAGAGGGGGCTGGAAGGTTACAGGTGCCGTCTGGGGGAGCTGGAGCACAGGGACCGTCACATGCAGGCCACAGAGGGAGCTGGAAGGTTACAGGTGCCGTCACAGAGGGAGCTGGAGCACAGGGACCGTCACATGCAGGCCACAGAGGGAGCTGGAAGGTTACAGGTGCCGTCACAGAGGGAGCTGGAGCACAGGGACCGTCACATGCAGGCCACAGAGGGAGCTGGAAGGTTACAGGTGCCGTCACAGAGGGAGCTGGGAGTACAGGGGCTGGAAGGGCAGGGCAGAACGGGCAATAAGGGCGAGAGGGGCAGTAAGGGTTGGGAGAGCAGGAAGGTAATGCAAGGAGGGCAGCAAGGGCTGACAGGGAGGATAGGCAGGTAAAGCAGGGAGGGGCAGTAAAGGCTGGCAGGGAGGGTAGGATGGACAGGGAGGGCACGGAGGCCAAGGAGGGCACTACGTTCTCCTCCTCATCATCATGCACACTAAGACGCAGTAATTTCATTCTCATGTCCTCAACTTAGAGAATTTTAAAAAGAACTCAGTTTAATATGTGTCTTATTAATTCTGTCTCTCTCCCTCCCTCCCTTTCTCTTTATATTCTCTCTAGTGGGTGTTGTTCTGCTCTCTCTCTCTCTCTCTCCCTCTCTCTCTCATTTCTTCTTTAACCTCATCTGGCCATTTTATTCTTCGTCCTGTCACAGCACTCTATTGTTGTTGTTTTCTCCTTCTTGTTGTTCCGCTTCTCCTCCTCTTCTTCTTCTTCCTCTTTTTCTTCTTCTTCGTTTTCTTCGTAGTTCCTGCCTTATTATTATTCCCGATTCTCTCACAAATCCTCTTCAATCTTCTCAGCCATTTTCTTCTTTGTCTTCCTCTAATTCTTCTTCTTCTTCTCCCTAATTCCTCTTCCACGTTTACCACATCTACGCTTATTCTTCTTTGTTCTTTGTCTTCCACTAATTATGTTTTCAATGCTGTTTCCTCTTTTTACTACTTTTCCATTTATCTTACATCTCAATTGATTTTATTCTTGGTCTTCCTTCTTAAAATATTATTCTATTTTATTACTATATTTTAATCTCTCTCTCTCTCTCTATTTTCTTTCTCTCTTTATCACTCGGTCTCTCAATTTTCTCACTCTCTCTCTCTCGCTCTCTCTTCATACACACACACACACACAAGTCGTCTTTACACCAACACATAATAAATATAGTTAAGATATTAGGTTGAATTAAAGTGATGTATATATAAACATTATCTTTAATTATTATGTCTTTATATTTACGTCTTCGTCTTTCTCTCTCTCTCTCTCTCTCTCTCTCTCTCTCTCTCTCTCTCTCTCTCTCTCTCTTTCTCTCTCTCTCTCTCTCTACCAATCCACTTTTTAATGTTAAGTTAGCTTAGTTTACTGTAGCTTAGCTTATAGGTTAGGTTAGGTCAAGATACCAAGGTTAATCTGACTTACTACCCTCACACATAAGAGGTTCAGTCTCCCCTTAAATTTATTAGGTTTTCTATATTCTCTTCCTCGTGGCGGGTTGTTTGCTGGTGGTAGAAGGGGAGAGATAGCAAGGGGTGAGAGGGAGGCGGTTAATTAGAGGTGAAACGAGGTGAGAAAAAGAACGAAAGGAGAGTGAAACCAAATAGGAGAGAGAGAGAAAATAATGTAAAAGAACTGAAGGACGATTAAAATAGAGAGTGAAAAGGAAGGATAAATAGAAAACACCAACAACAATAATATTAATAATAAGGTTAATATTCCACACAAAATGCTTATGAATCTAAATCGTGCATGTCAGCGTTTACAAAATAATTACCCAACAGTGATCAGGTTAGGTTAGGTTAGGTTAGGGTCATTTTGTTGTTTTTAATTCCACATTTTACCTCTGCTTCGACGCCCTGCCCATCATTGGTTAGATCAGGACTGACAGGGTAGGATGGGGTCATAACTCAATAATTATACAGTTCTCCAAAACTGTCATTATCACATTTGTATTGAACATAAAAAAACTCCATTATTATTTTTCGTTGTTTTTTCTCTAATTTTTTTGGGTCGGTGTTTGCGGAAAGGTTACCATAAATATTAATGCAAGTTAAAGCAAAACTATTAGAACAACCTTAAGCAATTGTGAAAGGTGGTAGACCGTCACACAGGCAGGCTCTCTCTCTCTCTCTCTCTTCCCTCACTCTCTCTTTCTTCCCTTTCCCTCTCTCTCTTCCTTCCTCATTCTCTCTTCCCCTTCTCCCTCAAACCCTCCCCCCCCCCTTCCTCTCCATTACACTACTATCTATATACTAATTGCCAATCCCAGGGTTGGAGTGTACTAATGGCAATACTGTAATAGAAGGGGTTGGCGTCTGTCTTTACCTGGCAACACTTTCTCCCCCTCCCTCACTGCCGGTGTTGCCAACTAGACGGGTGTTTATATACTCCTGAAATATTTTGTCTTCAAGGTATATTTAATTTCTCTTTAAATACCTATGTCAACAAACGTCTCACCTGTCACCTGTATTTCATGGTCGTCAAGTAAGTTAATGCTTCATCTTAGGTCTGTGTTTTTTGTTTGTTTGTTTGTTATTGATACAGAATATTACAGATTTGTCGTATTTTTTTTTTGGGGGGTGGGGAGTAAAGTGCATGAAGAATAGCCCTATATAGTTTGTTTCACTTTAGTTTAACCACTTTAACCTAACCTAACCTAACTCCCAGGTAGCATTCGGGTGCTTAATCATCTGAAGAAATCATTTGGGGCGGCGAATCTTCAGGGGATCCGACCTTATTATATAAATTATTACCGATTTTCGAGTTTCTGTCAGATTGTTTGTCTATATCAGCTGACTGTAGGAATCACACGTGCTTTCTCAATACGTATTTCTCTTGAATCTAAAATTAATGCATGGTGTTCAAATCAGTTTGTTTACATATAAAATATAACAACTAATCATACATACATGCATACACGTACACATAAATACATACAAACACACACAAACATAATAATGGTTGCCCTTCGTGTACGAGGATGGCCGGCCCAATGGCCACCATGGCGTGAATATGTTCAAGGTGTAGAAGCTGTCGCCAATACAACAACCACACCGTAAAGTAACGAGGAATAGTCTGAGAAGACCGGACAACTCGCCAACTGCACTGGCTAACCATTACCTCGGAACACGATCCACAAATTGATTAACATCGAAGTCCCCAATTACTGCTGAGTAGGCATACATACATACATACATACATACATACATACATACATACACATACAGTACAGACACATGTATTTAACTAACCAACATAAGTATTAATTTTAACTTGCTTACATTTATTTACTGATACAGATACACATTAACTTAATGTATATTTCTGTCAGACATCCTCGGCATACATATCCAATATGCTGAACATGTGTATACACTTTAACACACATTATACAACTAATTTGAACAAGTGAACACCTTCCCCAAATCAAGGAATCTGTATTGTTAGTTAAGTTAGTTGGGTTAATTAAATTAGTTGGTTATGTTAATTAGGTTTTAAGTTAATTATATGTTCTCCAAGTTATGGTATAACTATAAATCTTTAACATGTTGTGAGATATTTAATGTTAATTTGAATGATGTTATGTGTTGTAATATGAGTTAAATTGGTTAACTTTGGTTTAATGTCTGTCTGTCTGTCTGTCTGTTGTTCTTCTTTCCCTTATTCTTTATTTCCTATTTTCTTTATATCATTGTTTCTTTTCAGCCTTTCTCCTTCTTTCTCTCACTTTCACTCTGACTCTCTCTCTCTCTCTCTCTCTCTCTCTCTCTCTCTCTCCTCACAATATACACACTTTACAGTTTCCAATGTCTACACCACATTTCACACTCCAGAATGATGTCTCAAAATTGTGTTATCTCTCTCTCCCTCCAGTGGTTCTGTTTACCAAGGTCTTGTCTCTCTGTGTCTCTCTCTCCCCTCCTAAAAAAAATGCATATGTATCACCACCACGACTATCTCTCTCCCCCTCCCAGAGAGATGTCTCAAATTCCATTATCTCTTGACAATTTCCTCTGGCGTTGAAATGTAGTTTGTTCAGCCTTCTCTCTTTCTCTCTCTCTCTTTCTCTTTCCTTTTAGTGATTTCCCTTCTCACATATGCATATACTTCTACTCTCACACTCTCTCTCCCCGTATTTCTCATTGTCTTTCACTCCTCCTTTCTGTCTATCTGTTCACCTGTCTTATTTCCTCTCAGTCTCTCTCTCTGTCTTTCTGTCTGTCTGAATCATTTTTCTTCTCTCCCTCTCCTCTCCTCTCCGCGCCTCCCCTCCACATTTCATCAACGTTACCCTACACATCGTTTATCCTAAAGCTTTATATCTTCCTCTTATCAAACGTTATTGTATCTCACTTCATCCACTCGTTTATCTTCCTCTCTAGTTATCTGTTTCCCCTTATATTCTTTTTTTTTTGAATGGAAATAATAATAATAATACAACAACTTCAATAGCTACAACAACAACAATAATAACAAAACCCCTACTACTATTACTACTATTACTGCTATTAATACTACTACTATTACTACTACTACTACTACTACTAATAATAATAATACAAATAATAATAATAATAATAATAATAATAACAATAATAATAATAATAATAATAATAATAAGAATACAACAACAATAACAGCAGAAAATCCTCCTCCTACTACTACTGTACTACTATATCCGAGAATGAACTACTGTACGTAACACCATTGACTCAGATTACAGTGAACATGACAGCGAAACATTTTTTAAATAGTATTACTCATAAGACTTTGTTTATTCTGCTACAGTGCGTTCATCTGTGTGTGTGTGTGTGTGTGTGTGTGTGTGTGTTTGTGTGTGTGTGTGTGTATAATTGTATAGGTATATAAATGAGTACATTCAACATCAACATTACATTCATGAACACCAAAACATTTAAAGGTCTAACAGACATGGCGGTACCATCATTAAGGTCACAGGTTAAGTGGTAATTAAGGCAGGCACCTTTAACGCACGCACACACACACACACACAACACCATCCATTTTTGTTGACATTTATCATGACTGAGGCAATTCGAGTGTGCAGATATTATTGACGTGTGGAGAAAAATGGTGATCTTTTCCGTGAGTGTGTTTGTTGAGGAGGCAGAAGGAGATGCTGTGTGTTGGAGGGTCAGACGGTCATGGTGGGGAGGGGGTGTTGGGGGTCGTGGTGATGGAGAGAGTTGGGGTCGTG